ATGAGCTGGGATATGAAGACAGTCTATGAGCTGGGATATAAGGAGAGAGAGTATGAGCTGGGATATGAAGACAGTCTATGAGCTGGGATATGTGTGAAGGGTTGGTTCACCAGCTCACTTACAATAGTGCTCTTATGCCTGTGGGAGCCAGTACACTTGTTAAGTGCACTTGTTAAGTGGGCGGACTTAAGTTTGGTAACCAGCAACCGAAACCTCTAGTGTTTGGGCTCATGTGAGAGCCCCAGTCATCAGCAGTCCATAAATGTTACCCTGGCCGGGGTGGCATGTCTGTGGACAGTGCTAGAGCTGATAGCATCATCTCATTGTATGGCATGGAGCCAGACAACTTTGCGCGCGAACGCCTAGGCCGCAGGCGTGGGTGGACATGTGGGGCCCCACGCTCGCCGGCCACTTGAGTGGTTGTCATGGAGACAGCCGCCATCTTAGAAACATCTTGAGCCGCCATGTTGGTCGGCTATCTTGGAGTTGCCCTAGGGGCTATGCTACACCGTCGCTGATTGGATGAGAGGGGTAGGCCGCTGTATGCCTTCCTCTCATTGGTTATTTCGAGAAGGACGCGGGGATAGCCGTTGTGTAGCATCATTCTGAACTCAGCCGCCACCTTGTCAGGACGCTTCCTGTACTCAATTCGGCCAAATTGGAGTATAGGGCGTCGTGGTGGCTGGACTACTCACTGCTGATGCTTCCTGCTTCACCTACGACAACGGTCGTCACAGAATCCGGCCGAAGTCGTCGCTTGGAGGGGTTTAAGACATTGTTATTCAGGGGGTAGAGGTACAGTGATCTGGGATCGTGGGGGAATGTGCATACGAGCAGCAACAGACTCGTAGATCCCATACCAGTGATGATTAGACTTGCTAGTGCTCTGTAGCAGTCGATGGGAACGGGGAAATTCGTGTCAGTGTTAAGGCAAATTTCCCATGTTGGTGTGAGACGCTATTGTTGTGCGCGTCACCTGGGTATGAACGCTTCACTTCACCGGGGAGTCGAGGGTGCGAACTCAGCCGTGTTGAGTGGGAGGGGTTCGAGTGTGCGCCAATCTTTTCGAATAAATACTACCGCTTACGCCACCCGGAGCGAGCCAGCCACCTATAGCGGGGTGCCTGATGTATGGGAATTGTGTAAAGCCGGCAGTGTGAATGAGTAAGTACCTATGTGTGTATTTCTGGTGACTAGTAGTTTCTGAAGCTTGAATTCGAGGTCAAGTGTTCCGTCACATTGTCACGCAGCACCTGTTCAGGTGGAGTGAATTGTGGGCGAGGAGATTAATCACCTGTGTTGTCATCTTGTCAGTCCAGAGGGACTTAAGTCTGGTGTACACAGACGTACAGTGTGTGTGTGTGTGTGGGTACACACGGGGAACAGAGGATACATAGATTAGCCAAGGACTGAGAGGATGTCCGTGTAATAATTAATTATTTCATTGTGGTAGTCATTTTTGATCGTCCGTGGGACGGAGTGATATCATTTCCATGTGTGGTCTTGCAGGTGTGGAATTCCAACACTGAGTGCTCAGGTATGTGTAACGCCAGTGATTCCTGGCAATGATTATTGTGGAGTGTGCCACAGTGTGGCTTAAATTTCTTGTAGTGTTCCCAGGGCCGTGACAAGTGTGATTTATATAAATATATATTGTGGTTGCAGTATTAATTAACGTAATTTTTGGTGAGTTTTGGTGAGTGACGAGGCCGTCTAGAGAGACCGCCACCGCTCTGTCGAGTAACGTAACTCTTGAGAGTGTTTATCGACATGCGTGATCGATAAATCACTCACCCATGTGATTTAAGGAGTGTGAGATTCTCCTTAGTGTTCCCAATAACGTTTGATAGCTGTAGGCTACATGTGTCAGCGGTAATTATATATATATAATCGTAGTGTCACGGTGCCCAGTGTTATTGTGTTATTTACTGTGTGGTGATTGCAATATATTGACCTATGTTCTAGGGGTCATTTGCAGCAGTAAGTAAGTAAGTGTGTGCAGTATCCTAATATTTGGGAAATTAGAGTACTTGCCGTGTGTGTTATTGCAAAAGGGGTTGTTATTTGATAGTGATTGTTGCTAGTGTTGAGCAATCACCGTATGTGATTGCAGTCCAGTAAAGCCATTGTGGGGCAGTGTTCTAGAGGGTTCATGTCCTGTAGGTTATTTTACTAGATTCTGCAGTATTGTCATTGCAACCGGATTGTAACGTAAATCACTGTGATTTGTTAGTGTGATTTGTCATTGTCGTGGGGGAACTCGGCTGTAGACGAGTACTTGGATACAAATATATTCTCCTGGTTATCTGGTAGGACATCGAAGTCCAGTATTCAGTGAGGTGATTGCGAGGCAATTAATATAAAGTAACCAAGGGAACGCCCATTGCTTTAAGAGAATTTGTTCTTTGACAATTTGAGTAACGTAGAATACGTTTGGGTTAATATACTTTCCTGTAAGCAGCTACGGTAGTCTCAAGGAGCCTAGCCATCAGCCAGATAAGAATTAGAGTATTGTCTGTCGTAATTAACGGTCAGTGGGCCGGGTAATTGACGTGTTTCAGGAAGTCAAAGTAATTAATCTCGATCCTTGTTTGATCGACTCACACGAAGGCTACATTGTTCCATTAACGTAACGTCGTTATCTGCCCGGAAGTACCGGCACTTGATTGACTCGTGGGAGGAGTAGCGTCATTTTTGAATAACGTAAACGTGGTGCTAATTACTGTTATTAGCAGCCTGAATTGGTCTGAGTATGGAAGGCTCAGACGGAATTCATACCTTAATGTAAATTGTTGAGCCAGTGTGAAAGGTTGCGTATTTTAATTGTTTAATTATTGATCTTGAGGATAGTAATTAATTACTCTAAAGGTAATCACGACTGATTACCGTTCTCTTAGCACTTTGGACATTGTAAATCAGAGTTTACCATCGCTGAGTGATTAGTAACCGATTAACGTAAATTAACGTAACTAGTAGAGAGATTAATCAGCTGTCTGGTAGTACAGGGATTAATGGGATTTTCTCACTGAATGCTCGACGGGTAGTGTTGTTTGATTTCCGCGTTACTAGTGACAGTTGTAAGAGTTGTTAATTTAACGTAAATGTTACCTTGTTATTAACGTAAATCAATTGTTATTGATTGTTGATCGTCCGTGGGACGGAGTGTTAACGTAAGGATTAATTTGAGGAACGGTGCTGGAGTTGCCAGTGAACCCATTAGTTATTGTTGTCATTGAAAGACTACTGATTTGATTGCATTGCAACCGCTGTTGCAGGTGTAGACTGCACTGAGGCGTAGAACAGTTAGGAGGTTACTGGAGACGTATTTCAGAACCTACTGTGTCATTTGTTGTAATTGTGATTATAGATCTGTTAGTTCTTGCTTGCTTGTTGATTCCTCTGTGGTCACGCTTATGTTCGAGTTAGTTCATTATGCAGTCCGAGGGGCTGGTGTCTAGCTGTCATTGATAGTGTCACAGGAATGATTTTGAGTAACGTCATTGACATTTCTTTTTGTTTTGTTGTAGTAGTTAGTACTTTATTGAATAAATTAAGTTGTTATGGTTAACACTGTCTTTTCGTTACACCCCCACACATTACTATTGTTATGCAAATGTTCTTCACACTCGACTAATAAAGCTGAGACTGACTTTCTGAGCTTTGGATCAAATATACGGCACCACACAACAATAAATTATTGTTGTGAGAGCCCGTGACCTACTCGTTAGATTCGCTTCGGCGATTGGCGAAGGTCGGCGGCCTAGTGAGGGGGATTTCAATTTTCATTGGGGTCTCGGCGTTTGCTCGCGCCTAGTCAATTGTTCATACATGGTCCCAAAGTGAGGAATGAGCTGTTTACTACACTGGTGTGTTAGCTAAGCAAGTCCTTCCTCAGGCGACCTAGTTGAATATCACGATAGGAATAGAGGTTAAAGAATAAAGAAAATTCTTAGAAATTTTCAGAGCTAAAATTCCTTATACCAATTTTAATTTATTCCACAAATTCTCAACTCAAACTCTCACAATATGAAGACAGTCTATGAGCTGGGATATGAGGAGAGAGAGTATGAGCTGGGATATGAAGACAGTCTATGAGCTGGGATATGAGGAGAGACTATGAACTGGGATATGAGGACATGCTATGATATGGGACATGAAGACACTGCATCATTTCCATCCAACCAAGTATCCTGAATTGGACTTGTAGGTAAACCTGGCAGAGAACTTCAGATGCGTGTATAAGAAGTAAGTTATGCCAGGTACTTGAAGGGGGAGAAAACCCAGGTATAGCGCCCACCAGCCAGGGAATCCCAGCATCCACACGCTGGCTACCCATAAACAAGGCTTCAAGGTTATGAAACTACCGAAAAATACAAGTAGCGATTTAATTTGTGAGATTCAAAAATGTGTTCGATGAAAATGAATGAAAATTAATTCCCAGTGGATCTCTCTCTCTCTCTCTCTCTCTCTCTCTCTCTCTCTCTCTCTCTCTCTCTCTCTCTCTCTCTCTCTCTCTCTCTCTCTCTCTCTCTCTCTCTCTCTCTCTCTCTCTCTCTTCTCTCTCTCTCTCCCTCTCTCCTCTCTCCCTCTCTCTCTCTCTCTCTCTCTCTCTCTCTAAGATTTTCTAACAAACTCAGGACTTGGGATCCGTGTGACTCATGCTCAAATGCCTTTATTTATTTCATGTTAACTTGCATTTTTGCTTTCATTTCAGTCAAAATTATTCATTTCGTTTCATACTGCGTGATGCATAAGGTTGAATTATTACTCATATGTAATTTGTTGCATGTAATTTGAAATATGTTTTGGTTGGTTATAAACCTCGCATACCTTGTTTGAACAAATGATAAATTAAACATAGCAAATTGTTGAATATAATTTAACTACAGATACTAGCTGCAGTGGAAGTGATAGTGAGGTATTGGCTTGATGGAATATGTTTGGTTTCTGTGGTTAAATACATAGTTTGCTTAAGGTTAACCCCCTGGAATGTGGCTTATATGAACAGGATACAGCAAGAGAGTCATTCTGGTGACAGTAGACAGCAGGAGAGTCATTCTGGTGACAGTAGACAGCAGGAGAGTCATTCTGGTGACAGTAGACAGCAGGAGAGTCATTCTGGTGACAGTAGACAGCAGGAGAGTCATTCTGGTGACAGTAGACAGCAAGAGAGTCATTCTGGTGACAGTAGACAGCAGGAGAGTCATTCTGGTGACAGTAGACAGCAGGAGAGTCGTTCTGGTGACAGTAGACAGCAGGAGAGTCGTTCTGGTGACAGTAGACAGCAGGAGAGTCGTTCTGGTGACAGTAGACAGCAGGAGAGTCGTTCTGGTGACAGTAGACAGCAGGAGAGTCGTTCTGGTGACAGTAGACAACAGGAGAGTCGTTCTGGTGACAGTAGACAGCAAGAGAGTCATTCTGGTGACAGTAGACAGCAGGAGAGTCGTTCTGGTGACAGTAGACAGCAGGAGAGTCGTTCTGGTGACAGTAGACAGCAGGAGAGTCGTTCTGGTGACAGTAGACAGCAGGAGAGTCGTTCTGGTGACAGTAGACAGCAGGAAAGTCGTTCTGGTGACAGTATACAGCAAGAGAGTCATTCTGGTGACAGTAGACAGCAAGAGAGTCGTTCTGGTGACAGTAGACAGCAAGAGAGTCATTCTGGTGACAGTAGACAGCAGGAGAGTCATTCTGGTGACAGTAGACAGCAGGAGAGTCGTTCTGGTGACAGTAGACAGCAGGAGAGTCATTCTGGTGACAGTAGACAGCAGGAGAGTCATTCTGGTGACAGTAGACAGCAAGAGAGTCATTCTGGTGACAGTAGACAGCAGGAGAGTCGTTCTGGTGACAGTAGACAGCAGGAGAGTTGTTCTGGTGACAGTAGACAGCAGGAGAGTCTTTCTGGTGACAGTAGACAGCAGGAGAGTCTTTCTGGTGACAGTAGACAGCAGGAGAGTCTTTCTGGTGACAGTAGACAGCAGGAGAGTCTTTCTGGTGAGAGTAGACAGCAGGAGAGTCTTTCTGGTGACAGTAGACAGCAGGAGAGTCGTTCTGGTGACAGTAGACAGCAGGAGAGTCTTTCTGGTGACAGTAGACAGCAGGAGAGTCGTTCTGGTGACAGTAGACAGCAGGAGAGTCATTCTGGTGACAGTAGACAGCAGGAGAGTCTTTCTGGTGACAGTAGACAGCAGGAGAGTCTTTCTGGTGACAGTAGACAGCAGGAGAGTCTTTCTGGTGACAGTAGACAGCAGGAGAGTCGTTCTGGTGACAGTAGACAGCAGGAGAGTCATTCTGGTGACAGTAGACAGCAGGAGAGTCATTCTGGTGATAGTAGACAGCAAGAGAGTCATTCTGGTGACAGTAGACAGCAAGAGAGTCATTCTGGTGACAGTAGACAGCAGGAGAGTCATTCTGGTGACAGTAGACAGCAGGAGAGTTGTTCTGGTGACAGTAGACAGCAGGAGAGTCGTTCTGGTGACAGTAGACATCAGGAGAGTCGTTCTGGTGACAGTAGACAGCAGGAGAGTCATTCTGGTGACAGTAGACAGCAGGAGAGTCGTTCTGGTGACAGTAGACAGCAGGAGAGTCTTTCTGGTGACAGTAGACAGCAGGAGAGTCTTTCTGGTGACAGTAGACAGCAGGAGAGTCGTTCTGGTGACAGTAGACAGCAGGAGAGTCTTTCTGGTGACAGTAGACAGCAGGAGAGTCGTTCTGGTGACAGTAGACAGCAGGAGAGTCGTTCTGGTGACAGTAGACAGCAGGAGAGTCGTTCCGGTGACAGTAGACAGCAAGAGAGTCGTTCTGGTGACAGTAGACAGCAGGAGAGTCGTTCTAGTGGCGGCAGGTGGGTCGTAGCGGTGACAGCCGATGAAAGAGCGGCTGGAGATTACCCCTTGACCGTCGTAGGGCTGGGAACACAAGTGCCCTGAGTCCTGGAGGGACTACAGACCAGACCCTCCCCGCAGGTGCCGTGGTTGTGCCCACAAGCGCTTCCCAAGGGCTGCAGTGAGACACACATCACGTTAGTTAAATATCCCTTTGTGTGTATACCTCAATAATTAATTTCAATGTTAGTTAACATTCTCATGTACAAGGTAACATGATACATATATAACTAGTTCTAAACTGTGTGCTCAAGAATTAGATTTAGACCACTTGATGAAGAGTCAGTAGAGATATCTGGAATAGAAAGCCCTTAATTTATCACATGATTGTCGTCAATACCACTGTCTTCATCTCCTCTTTTTTAGTTTCAATACCAGGTACCTATTTACTGCGAGGTGAACAGGTGCATCAGGGTGAAAGAAACTGACCATTTGTTTCCGCCTCCGCCGGGAATCGAGCCCGGGCCATTAGGACTACGACCTCCGAGCGCTAACCACTCAGCCGTGAGGCCCCGTGTGTTTGGGTGGAAGGGGGAGGGTGGGGGGCGAGGGGGGTAGACGGGATAAAGATTTCATAGATGAAGTTTCATCTCCAATAAAGTGTTCTCGCAACATTGCGTTCCAGTCTTTCACCAAAGCATCATACACTCACACCTCCTCCTGAGCAACACACACACACTCACACCTCCTGAGCAACACACACACACTCACACCTCCTCCTGAGCAACACACACACACTCACACCTCCTGAGCAACACACACACACTCACACCTCCTGAGCAACACACACACACTCACACCTCCTGAGCAACACACACACACTCACACCTCCTGAGCAACACACACACACTCACACCTCCTGAGCAATACACACACACTCACACCTCCTCCTGAGCAACACACACACACTCACACCTCCTGAGCAACACACACACACTCACACCTCCTCCTGAGCAATACACACACACACACTCACACCTCCTCCTGAGCAACACACACATACTCACACCTCCTCCTGAGCACACACACACACTCACACCTCCTGAGCAACACACACACACTCACACCTCCTGAGCAATACACACACACTCACACCTCCTCCTGAGCAACACACACACACTCACACCTCCTCCTGAGCAAACACACACACACTCACACCTCCTGAGCAACACACACACACTCACACCTCCTCCTGAGCAACACACACACACTCACACCTCCTCCTGAGCAACACACACACACTCACAACTCCTGAGCAACACACACACACTCACACCTGAGCAACACACACACTCACACCTCCTGAGCAACACACACACACTCACACCTCCTGAGCAACACACACACTCACACCTCCTGAGCAACACACACACACTCACACCTCCTGAGCACACACACACACACTCACACCTCCTGAGCAACACACATACACTCACACCTCCTGAGCAACACACATACACTCACACCTCCTGAGCAACACACACACACTCACACCTCCTGAGCAACACACACACACTCACACCTCCTCCTGAGCAACACACACACACTCACAACTCCTGAGCAACACACACACACTCACACCTCCTGAGCAACACACACACACTCACACCTCCTGAGCAACACACACACACTCACTCCTCCTGAGCAACACACACACACTCCTCCTCCTGAGCAACACACACACACTCACACCTCCTGAGCAACACACACACACTCACACCTCCTGAGCAACACACACACACTCACACCTCCTGAGCAACACACACACACTCACAACTCCTGAGCAACACACACACACTCACACCTCCTGAGCAACACACACACACTCACACCTCCTGAGCAACACACACACACTCACACCTCCTGAGCAACACACACACACTCACACCTCCTGAGCAACACACACACACTCACACCTCCTGAGCAATACACACACACTCACACCTCCTGAGCAACACACACACACTCACACCTCCTGAGCAACACACATACACTCACACCTCCTGAGCAACACACACACACTCACACCTCCTCCTGAGCAATACACACACACTCACAACTCCTGAGCAACACACACACACTCACACCTCCTGAGCAACACACACACACTCACACCTCCTGAGCAACACACACACACTCACACCTCCTGAGCAACAACACACACACACCACCTCCTGAGCAACACACACACACTCACACCTCCTGAGCAAACACACACACACTCACACACTCCTGAGCAACACACACACACTCACACCTCCTCCTGCAGCAACACACACACACTCACACATCTCCTCCTGAGCAACACACACACACTCACACCTCCTTAAACACAGCAACACACACACACACTCACACCTCCTAAAGCAACACACACACACTCACACCTCCTGAGCACACACACACTCACACAGCAACACACACACACTCACACCTCCTGAGCAATACACACACACTCACACCTCCTGAGCAACACACACACACTCACACCTCCTGAGCAACACACACACACTCACACCTGAGCAACACACACACACTCACACCTCCTGAGCAACACACACACACTCACACCTCCTGAGCAACACACACACACTCACACCTCCTGAGCAACACACACACACTCACACCTCCTGAGCACACACACACACTCACACCTCCTGAGCAACACACACACACTCACACCTCCTGAGCAACACACATACACTCACACCTCCTGAGCAACACACACACACTCACACCTCCTGAGCAACACACACACACTCACACCTCCTGAGCAACACACACACACTCACACCTCCTGAGCAATACACACACACTCACACCTGAGCAACACACATACACTCACACCTCCTGAGCAACACACATACACTCACACCTCCTGAGCACACACACACACTCACACCTCCTGAGCACACACACACACTCACACCTCCTGAGCAATACACACACACTCACACCTCCTGAGCAACACACTCACACCTCCTGAGCAACACACACACACTCACACCTCCTGAGCAACACACACACACTCACATCTCTCATTAAAGCAACACACACTCACACATCTCGTTAAAGCAACACACACTCACACATCTCGTTACAGCAACACACACTCACACATCTCACACCTCC